CTCTCTCTTATAGAGACTAACCCCTAATTTACACTACTTGCGTTCCGTCTCCGCTCCRCGCCGGTCCRATCTCCGCAGCAAATAYGCACCCACCCATTATAATCAATGAGAGYGTTTACACTGGCTGCGCAYGGCGGCACAGGGCGGCGGTGAGCGGACGGCGATCCGTCAAAATTAGAATAGATCTTATTTTTGCCGGACGCCGGAGCAGCGCCGGAGTCAATTTTTAAAGATTACGTCGCACCAACAGGAAAAGAAACGAGCACAACATCCGTATTTTCAAAATAAGACACTTTTAGTCTGGATAATTTGTTGGAAAAATGTCAAAATTGCAGCTATATTAATAAATATACGGATATATTTCCACACAGATGCTGTCAGAATGTATCGTTCTGTTTGGAATGTAGATGGAAACATGTAGCATGAAGCATATGTACACACACGATACACGTGGATTTTATTTTGAAATCAGAAGTTTCAGAAAGMCGACAGCRAGACAGTTTCAACATAGATACCAAAAGCCTTTATATCGTTTTTTTCAGCTGTGTTTGGAGTTCGTCTTTCACAGAATTAATGATTTTTTGCTGTGACTTCCGCACTTATCACTGAATTTATCACGTGATCTGCTTCCTGCACGTCTGTCGGACCGGAGCGGAGACGGTGTAAACTGGACTTGGAAAGCACAGCTGCGACCTGCGCAGCGGAGCGGAGCGGAGACGGAACGCACGTAATGTAAATTGGGGTTGAAATTATCTAAAGAAACATCAGAAAATTCCCTGCTGTCTGTAGTCGTTGTAGCAATGCTCTGTTTACATGCAGACATTCCCCTTTGACATCACTTCCTGTTACTTCACTTGCAAATATCTCAACAACCGTTCATCTCAGTGGTGTGAAATTGCTTTTGCAATATATTATCCATGTTATCTTTCCAAAWGTGCAATCACATTTATCACAAAAAAWTGATGTCACAGGCACTTTAATACTCAGAGTTACACAGGCTTAATACTCTGAGAAACACACGTTTAATACTCAAAGTTAAACAGGTTTAATACTTTTAAGTGCATGGATTTAATACTCAGAGTTACACAAGCTTAGTACTTAATTACACAGGTTTAATACTTTGATTTACACCGGTTTGATGTTTAAGAGTTACACAGGCTTAGTACTCAATTGCACAGGTTTATACTTACACATGCTCTGAGTTACACAGGTTTAACACAGATGTAAACATAGCTCAAACTTTAAGTTTATTTTTCTGTCATAAACTAGAAGGTTTAGGGTGGAAATATCTAGTTAAAACAGATGTTATGGGTGTAACTAAATCTACTCACCAGCTCTTCTTCATCTGTTTGAACATCACTCGTCTCCAAAGACATCTTGGGAGTGCCGCTGAACATTGTAAGTAAATGTTATGTTGAAATGAAAAACTCGAGTTTTGTTTTGTGTGCTCTTTCCATTTTTTTTTCTCCAGCAAAATAAAAAAAAAAGAAAAAAAAGCTATCTTCAGCTCGCTCCTCTTCTTCAGAGGCTCATGCTAATAATAAAAACAAGGGGTTCCAAAACWGTCAAGCTAAAACTGGAAACATTCGCACAGAAAACTAAGAGCTCTTCTCGGGTAAGGAGCTGTTTATGCGGTGATACGGACAGTTTTCTTACACGASTTTCTGTCCTTCCTAGCCTGTTTTGTTTTCACGTCGATGAGAGAGAGAGTCGTCTAGCAACCAGGCAGCTGTGTTAAGCTAGCCAGGGGAAAAGGGAAATGAAGAGGGACCGATGTTGTATTGGTGTAAGTATGCCCCGAAAGAGTTTGCGCACCCTGTCTCAGGAGCGCGCACACTGCTGGATAATTGGACCTTCCTGGTTACATCTGTACTGTAAACCCGTTTTTCTCCTCCTGCCAAGTCGCTTTAACAAATATGACTAAATCTTTTTTTTATGTTAAATGACTTTCCAAAGGCTGAGCTGCCCGCTGATGACGTCCTTGGTCTGTTAAAATGAAAACACATTGAGAACAAAAAAAAAATGTCTTTATTTTTATTGTGGCCCACAAGCTCAACATTAAAATAACACGTCAAACTGACAAAATAAATTAAAACATGAAGTTTACCTGGTTGAAGTCCACATGGAGTTATTTCTGCTTTTCCTGCTTTGTGCGCGCTCCCGAGACCAGGGACACAAACGCATTTGGCGGAGGGATACCTACATCTGCGCAACACCTGAGTGTGTGTTTTCACGCCTTCAAATTAAATGCAGTGCAAGATTTCAAAATCTATGTAAAGTCAGAAAAAACAGTTTCCTCTTAATAGTATTTTATTTAATATAATCTTTAAATAAATTGGTTTGAAAACAATAAGTAAAATTTAAAACATTTAAGTTAGCAGTGATTATGTTTGACAAGAACCTTATTTTGAAAATGTTAAACAGATATTAGTTTTCTCCTGTTAACTTGACAGAGCTGCACTGCTTCTCAAACAGACAGCTCCTGAAAGTGTTTTTTATTGTTTTCCACACTGCACCTTTTTGCTGTGGGTAGTGTGGGCCTATTTGAAAGGTCTTAAATAAACAAAGGTCTTAAATAAACAAAAAGACATGTGAAGGGAAAGGACATTATTTTTAGGTAAATCCTGCAACCCTTGACTGCAAGAGTCAAAAATATTTTTACTGCATCAAATCACTATTATTTCACAAATATAGTACAACACAAAAAACACTTGTTCCAACAGCAGTCTGTTAAGCTAAAAATATTCCAAAATTTTGTTTTATTTTCAATTTATTTCAATTTAAATGAACAGGAAAACTCTCCATTGTTCTGCAGTTGGTCTTTCACTATGAAAAAACGTGTTTTATTTGGTTGTGAGGATGGGTTTAGAAGGATGCATGACCACGTTTAGATATATACTGTATACTGTATTATCAATGGTTATTTGTAGTTGGACTGGAAAAACCTGCTCAWATACTCTCCCCTTCCTCTCAGACCTCAGAGAAAAGCCAGTTACTTATTTGACATGTATCATATTTTCATGCAGACTGTTTGTACAGGTGGTGAACTCCTGCAGCCACAGCAGCAGGCTTTGGATGAGGGGTAAAAAAAACTTGTTGGACACACTGTAGTTTCATTGTAAAAAGAATGAGTCTGTGGTTTCAGAGTAAAACCAATCTCGTTTTGATAATATCCACAAGTCTGCTGGGTTAATGGTTTATGAATTACAATGAAACTAAAACAATTTCAGTTTTATTCAATTGCTGTGACTCCATCTCCATCTTCTACCACTGGTGCTTGTTTCAGGTGCTTGTTTCTGCAGTCTCATTCTTTCGGTCATGATCCAAACCTCATGACCCTAGGTGAAGGTAGGGACAGACTAGTGAATTGAGAGCTTTGCCTTTCAACTTGACTGTCTCCACTACAACMSACCRAAGCAACGCCCTCATTACTGAGGTTGAGGCCCCGAGTCATAGATCCGTCTCTCGCTCCATCCTGCCAAAACTCGTGAACAAGACAGTTGGATCTGGGATTTTTCTGTGTAAGGGGCCATCAAGGGGCCACAATATTCATAGAGGKGCCAAGTGTTTGTTCAGCATCCTTGCTCACAAATCCCTGGTTTTGGTAAGGTGTATATATTTAACCAGTTGCCTGTTTAAACACATGTAATTAAAAAAAGTGCAAAGTACATTCTCCTATACCAATTTCAGATGCATTTTTACAGTACATAGATAAAATATGCTCAAACACACAKCRTGTGAGAGAATCCAGCCATCATTTGTGAGTTGAAAGACTTTTTCTGCAGGATTGTTCCAATTTTCAGAAAAGAAAAACACTTCTGTCAGCTTTATTCATGCAGGACTTTTCTATTGGGCTCATTGGCGCCTCTAGTGTTTGGACATGGAACTGCAATCAGCATCTTCGCTCTTAGGCAAAGGACAGATGAGTGGCAGGACATGGGCACTTCAGGGGGCCAATCAAAGTTCAACAGGGGTCAATGCCCCTGTGGCCCCGCTCCTAGAACCACCATTTGTCTTTTAATCAGGCTGACACTTGAGTTAACAGCAAGTTAGGGCAGTAGTTTCCAAAGCTGGGGTTGGGACCCCCCTGTGGGTCCTGAAACATCAACATTTAAAAACACAATTTAAAAATTATTTTTCCTCCTGGTTGTTCCACAAAAACGTGGTTAGTGAACTAAAGTAGCCTAATGAATATTGTTACCATGCCCTTATTTGACCTGATTGTGTTTTTGTACAGGTCTCTGCTACTGTTATTGTGTGGGTCAAAAGCTGAAAAGGAACCACTGTTAATTCACCATCAGCACCTAAGAAATATTGCTGATGATAGGTAATTTACATTGTGGAATCTCTAACAAAAAGAAGTCCGGTGAAGTGTAGTTGTATTTTAAAACATTTGGTGGGTTGAAATGATCATTAGTGCTATGTTGTGCAAAACATTTTCTCTGTTGCATCATTGCCACCCATGCAAATTGTTCTATTTTTGAGTATGGTCGCAAAGGTGGCTGACAGAAAGGTYTCATCAAACAGGAGGCATTTTACCTCATCATAACAAAAAGTAAATAAATAAAATTACAATGGTTAACAAAAGTATAAAGAATGAAATTTGTTGGCCCCTTTTTTTTCTTTTAAGTTAGCCAAATTTATCTGTCGTTGATGTAATCTGTTTTATTTTCCTGCTTACCTTCTTTGAATTTGATTATGATTAACTGAGTTCAGAGGAAGACATACAACACAACAGAACAGCTCTGATTATAAAAATACTTGCATTTTATAAGGGAAGAACATATTGTGTTTTATTTACTTTGATTCTGTCTGTGCTGTATTTCTTTTTTTAGGTAGGAATGGTGTGGTCTGAGGTGAGAGCAGTTTGTTATAGAGATTAAATAAAGTTTTTGCACAGAATGTAAATGTTGAACAAGGTATAGTTTTGTATCTTTAGTACCATCTTTTTATTATTTAAGAGACATCAAATAGTTTTTTAATTGAATTCAGAAAAGGGTTTTTGCATAATGATCAAAATGTGAAAGTAAAGACCCAAGCAAGTAATGTTATTCACTTGTTGGATYACTGACACATGAAAATGTCAACATGCAAACTTATACAAATCAACCTCATGCGAACCTCAGAAACTTCTCTGTTATTCCACTAACTAGTATGGATGGAAAAAGTGTRTCAAGTTGCTTCAAAGTTTTACCCTGCAGAATGTATTACTGTTAATCTGAGGAAACTCAGTTAGGAAAAATCTAAATGGCACATTTCAGTCCTGCTGCTTTTCAGTGTTGTGACATGCACAAACCTGAACTGACACATGGTGAGGACTTCAGGAACTAAATATACACAGTAACAAAAATGAATTGGTTTCGTGTGAAGCTGTGGTCTTGRTATTGTAAGTGGTGTGAGGAAAGGAAAAGCACACTCCTGTTCACTTTTTCCAGGTTAAAATAAAGGAGGGCTGAGGTGCTGGGCAGTGCTGACAGTTCTAGAACAGTGGTTCCCAAAGTTGGGGTTGGGACCCAAAGTGGGGTCCTGAAACATCAAGGTGGGGTCCTGAAAAGATTTTCCCATATTAATTACATTTTTGCCTTAGTTGCCTAAAATGTATAAATGTAGAATGATAAATATTGTTACTATGCCCATGTTTAGTTGACCTGATACAAATGTTTATCATCCAAAAATAGCTGTGGGCACAGGTCTCTGCTACTGTTATTTTGTGGGTCAAAAGCTGAAAAGTTTGGGAACCACTGCACTTCAGAAATCAATTTAAAGGGTAATAAAATAATTGGTGATGTAATATTTTTGCTATAATTTTACAAAAACACAAAATAAGTACAAATAAGTATTTATATTTGTGTAACCTTTGTTTTTAGGGTTATTAGCAAAGTTTGTGTACTCAGACCAGTTATATTTGGGGTCACAAGTTTTTGCAATTAATATTTTGTGGGTCAGAAGATAAAAAGTTTGGGAACCACTRTTCTAGAAGATGCAAACAATGRAACCTTGGGCCTTTTGATCATTTTAGCTTCTGTTCTTCTACATTTATTATGTACATGCCATATTTTTTAGCTTTGTAAGCCATTTTGGCTATTTTAGCTCATCTTTTGATAGTTTTATCTAGTCTTTGGACAGTTTTAGTTAGCGTTTATTAACTTTTGCTTCCATTTCCACTACTTTTAGCTAGCCATTATTTATTTTGCTGCTCTGAAATAGACATCAGCTACTTTTAGCTAACCTTTGGAGAGATAACACAAGCTGAAAATAATTAAAATGCAAGAAAAGAGAAAACCAAAAGAGAAAAACAAAGAAAAAATACAATAAAGCATAACACATTAGTATATTTTCAAAATCTTCAGCTTCTTTTGGCTAACATTTTCTTCTGTTAACCGATCCTTTCTTTTCATTCACCTTGCTTTCTTTCCTTTAGCTGTAACARCTTAGTTTCAGCTTCAGTATTTCAGAAGACTTTCAGCTTTTAATTAACCTTTTCTGCTTTTATTTCATGGTTTGCTCTTTTTTAACTTGCATTTTGATCAGCTCCGTCAGCAGGAGGCGGCTGCCTTCAAAGARGGAGACAGAGACAGCTACAGACGTGTGAAGTATGGATTTAGCAGGGWGGTGTCGAAGCTAWAGATCCAGGTACAATACACGTCTGGGGCAGCAGTTCTCTGCAAACAACTCTGCCACTGTATGGAGGGGGCTGAAAGAGATCGCCAACTACAGGCCCAGAGCAACTAACACTACAGACAATCTTAAACTTGCTAAAGACCTGAACGACTTCTATTCACGCTTTGAAGTCATTGACCCCCCAATCCCACCCATCCCTTCACACCACTCTGAGTTCAGCCACCTCCCATCCCCCCTCTGCTCTCTCAGTCCGGGAGGAGGATATGAACAGGCTGCTCAAGAAACTGAATCCACATAAAGCTGCAGGTCCAGACTGTGTGTCTCCCTCCACCCTAAGACACTGCTGATGAGCTGGCCCCGGTCTTCACAGGTATCTTCAACTCTTCTCTGGAGTTATGTCACGTCCCAGCCTGTTTCAAGTCCTCCATCATCGTCCCTGTTCCCAAGAAGCCACGCGTCACAGGACTCACCGACTACAGGTCTGTGGCTCTCACGTCTGTAGTCATGAAAACCATTTGGTTTTATCCCACCTCAAGTCCATCTGCAACCCCCCAGTTGGACCCTCTGCTGTTTGCCTACAGAGCCAACTTGTCTGTAGATGACACCGTAAACCTGGCTCTCCACTTCATCCTGCAGCATCTGGATTCACTCGGAACCTACGCTAGGATCCTGTTTGTGGACTTCAGCTCTTCAACACCATCCTTCCTGCTCTGCTCCAGGACAAGCTCTCTTTGCTCGACGTGCCTGACTCCATCTGCAGGTGGATCACAGACTTCCTGACAGACCGTAGTCAACGAGTGCGGCTGGGGAAAGTTGTCTTGGACACACAGACTGTAAGCACAGGATCTCCACAGGGCTGTGTTCTCTCCCCTCTGCTCTTCTCCCTGTACTGTTGCACCTTCAGCCATGACTCTGTAAAASTTATTAAGTTTGCGGACGACACCACCCTCATCGGGCTCATCTCGGATGGTGATGAGTCTGCCTACAGGTGGGAGGTGGACCAGCTGGTGACCTGGTGCAGCAGCAACAACCTGGAGCTCAATACCCAGAAAACAGTGGAGATTATTGTAGACTACAGAACGACCACAGCACCACCCCCAAACAACACCCCCATCACAACTGTAGCCTTCTACCGGTTCCTCGGCACCACCATCACCCAGGACCTCAAGTGGTAGACAACCATCAGTTCCCTAATCAAGAAGGCTCAGCAGAGGATGTACTTCCTGCGACAGCTGAAGAAAGCTAAAATGCCAGCCAGGCTGATGGTGCAATTCTACACAGCCATCATGGAGTCCATCCTCAGCTCCTCCATCATGGAGTCCATCCTCAGCTCCTCCATCATGGAGTCCATCCTCAGCTCCTCCATCACRGTGTGGTATGCCRGKGCCACTGCCAGGGACAGACACAGACTGCAGCACGTTGTGCGCTCTGCTGAGAAGGTGATCGGCTGYAGCCTCCCATCTCTCCATGACYTRTACGTCTCCAGGACTGTGAGGCGAGCAGGTCGGACCACAGCTGACCCTTCTCACCCTGCAGCCTGTTCATACCACTCCCTTCAGGCAGAAGGTTTCGGTCCATTCGGACCAGAACATCCCACCATAGGAACAGTTTCTTCCCCTCTGCCSTCAGACTCTTGAACATTCAGAACATGACTCTAAAACTGGGCCTTGKCCACTTCATCACTGGTTTCTTAAACAGCACAACTCAGACTGTATTGTTTTTCTGGTCACTTATATCACTGGATCTAACTGCACTACTCCAAATATATTGTCTGCTCTGAATACTGTATTGAACTGGTGTACATATGTTTTACATATTTTATTATATTTTTCCTTTATTCTTTGTATTTTCTTCTTTTGTTATATTTGATAMCTATTGCACCTTTACACTGAAGCAAATTCCTAGTCTGTGAATCCTGGTCATTGACAATGCCAATAAAACTGATTCTGATCCTTTTCAGGTTGCAGCTTACTTACTTTTAGCTTTAACAGCAATTTCAGGAGACCTTCAGCTCTGTTCACCTGCAACATGAACGTTTTTTGGATTTCAGTTGTTCTGGGAGATTTTGAGGCCAGAACTCTCTCACGTGTTTGACTGAAAAAGGGGACATATTAAAATGTGTGATCATCAAAACTATTTGCATAATATTAGTCTAATTTGAGYAGCTTGTTGAGACATGGAGTTTATCTCAGGTTTCCTGCAGGCATAAATTGCAGAACAGCTGTGTGCATATGGATATTTGGCCAGAGCACAATTGACTTAAGAGAAAGGGGTAAAAAAATTAAAGCCTGCATTATTTTGTCCTGTTCMTGTGTGGACAAACTGTGTGGCTGCAGGGCTGGTTTGCTAAAACTGCATTCAGCTCCTTTGCGTAGAGGGGCGTGTACTGSCTTCAGAGGGGGGAAAAATCAGTCCTGCAGCTCGTGGAGCAGGGTGGGTTTGTAGTCAGAGAGAATCTCCTCTTCATCACCATCATCTGTCAGAGCAGCTCGGTCTCTTGCTGGCTTTGTCTCCGAGTCCTGCATCTCTCCTCTTCTCTCCTCCATCATCATGTCTTCTCTCGGCGGGGACTTGCTGCAGATCCCTCTGGGGCTCATCAACAGCGCGGGCAAGTATCTGACTGCGGAGACCTTTGGCTTCAAGATCAACGCGTCGGCCAGCGGCCTGAAGAAGAAGCAGACCTGGACCCTGGAGCAGACCGGGGAGGACGGCAGCGTCGTGTTCCTCGCRTCCCACCTGGGCCGCTACCTGGCCGCGGACAAAGACGGCAACGTCACGGCCGACAGCGAGGCGCGCGGCCGGGACTGCCGCTTCGTCCTCGCCGCGCACGAGGACGGGCGGTGGTCGCTGCAGTCCGAGCTGCACGGCCGCTTCCTCGGCGGCAGCGAGGACCGGATCACCTGCTTCGCGCAGACCGCCTCCCCGGCGGAGCGATGGTGCGTCCACCTGGCCGTGCACCCGCAGGTCAACATCTACAGCTTCGCGCGCAAACGCTTCGCCCACCTGAGCGCGCTCGGCGAGGTGTCCATAGACCGGGACGTGCCCTGGGGGGTCGACTCGCTCGTGACGCTCGTGTACCGGGACGAGCGGTACCACCTGGAGACCTCCGATAACCGCTTCCTGCGCAACGACGGCAGCCTGGCCGCCAAGCCGGACGCGGACACCGGCTACATGCTGGAGTTCCTGTCCGGGAAGGTGGCGTTCCGCGACTGCCACGGCCGCTACCTGGCCCCGGTGGGTCCCACGGGAACAATGAAGTCTGGGAAAAGCGGCCGGGTGGGGAAGGATGAACTGTTCGGCCTGGAGCGCAGCCACGCGCAGGTGGTGCTGACCGCAGGCAACGACAGGAACGTCTCAACCAGGCAAGGTGAGGCTCAGGGGAGGAAACTGGGGTCACTGGGGGCAGCTGTGCGAACTGGAGACTCCTAATTTTTGCTGGACCATGTGTTTTTCATTACCGTGCGCTCTCCCTCCTCATCCTCTTGGCCACTCTTTGAAAAAAAAAATGCAGCACTTTTCTGCAGTAATTCCACCCCTGCCTTGTTGCTGCTGCAGAGCCGGGGTCAGCTTCAGACCATTAATAATTTATGTCAGTCCTAATTCTCAGAATAACGCAAGAATAGACAGAAACTGAGGACAGACTTGGTTTTCTGTAGACAAAGACTAAAATGGAGGCTGTGCTCAGAGAGGGTGAGGTGAGACTCAGTCCTGCTGAATGGGGACTTGTGGGCCTCATTTTTCTTGCAGCCACTCAGCTGCTTTCTGCACACAGACAGAAACAGATGCAAGCGACTGCAGAAAGAGGAAGGTTTTATTTTGATCGGTTTAGGTCATATTTGACCCAGCATAAAAGGTTTTAATATCCACTCTCTAACATGATTTTGATTGAACCAATAAGTTAATTTTGATGCTGTCCTTCTGTTATACTACATTGTTATTTTTGCTTTAAGATATCAAATATCTGAGTAATCTTTTTCAGATCGTATCATTTTGCTCCAGAATAACTTTGTTGTTGCTAAAATGATTTTTGTGTCGGACTATGTATAGTGAATTGAGAAGAAATTGTTAACCAAATTCAGAAACATCCTATTTAACGCTGATTCTTTGCCAAAGTTTATGTCAAACCAACATTGGTTTGAGTTTGAGAGCCTTTATATGCCTGTAAAATCATGTAGGTCACAGTTAGGCAGCTTAACACAATTTATTCCTCTGAAACTAATACTGAACATGGATGCAAAATCAGGGTCAGGTTTGTAGTTTKGGTCATAGCAGACTTTTTTCAGCCTGTCTGTTGTCGATTTGCTTGTGAGCATGAAGGATCACTGTCCTGTTGCATGACCCACTTTTGACTAAGCTTCATCTTTCAGACAGATGGGCTCACATTTGACTCTGGAAAACATTGGTATACAGTGAAGTCATGGCTGAGTCCATGAGTTTAAGCTCCCAAATATTTTATCTTCAAAACAAGCATCATCTTATCTTATTTATCATGAAGGATTTGATTGTAGTTTAGTATTTGTAGTTTTGAATTTTGTAATGTCTGTGTGCTGCTGCCGTTCTTGGCCAGGTCTTTCTTGAAAAAGATACTTTTAATCTCAATGAGACCTGGTTAATTAAAGGTTAAATAAAATAAGAATACTGATAAATTAGGATATTTTCTTTTTTTTTGTTATCTGTCATCAGAGTATTTATGAATTACGTATGAGACTTTCAAACCATACAAACAAATGAAAACTGATGGCGGATGACCTTATTTCCAGGAATAGACCTGTCAGCCAATCAGAATGAGGAAGGGGACCAGGAAGTCTTCCAATTAGAGATGAACCGTGAAGACAGGAAGTGTGCTTTCAGAACTGCTACTGGAAAATACTGGACTCTGACAGCAACTGGAGGACTGCAGTGCACTGCCTCTGCCAAGTACTCCCGCCAATACACATTTCCTATGATATATGGTAAGTTTTACACTAAAAGGACCAATAATGAGTTCTGGTGGTTTTTCAGGTCCGCAGACAGTCACTTTGAGCTGGAGTGGCGTGACGGTCGCGTGTGTATCCGTGCAGCCAATGGCAAGTATGTGACTGCGAAGAAGAACGGGCAGCTAGCAGCAACCATTGACAACGCAGGTCAGTCCACGTGTCTGATATTGATYAAACTCAACAAAGGCAACCTCAGAGTGAAGGAAGAGAAAGTGATAAAATACTTTAATCATTTTTTAGGTAATTGGATTTTTGCAGACATTCTCWAGAACCCATGACCCTCATTGGGGTCCCAACTAGAGCTGCACGATAGCAGGAAACCTGCGATGTGCAATAACAGTGCTTAATATTGCGATCAGTGGTGGATCTAGGATTTTTCTGAGGAAGGGGCCATGAAGGGGCCACAGTATTCATAGAGGGGCCAAGTATTTGTTCACCATTCTTGCACATAAATCTTTGGTTTTGGTAAGGTGTATAAATTTAACCTGTCACATATGTTGCAACAATTGTAACATAATGTAATGTTATTAAAAAAGCTTAAATTCTCCTTATCAATTTCACATGCATTTTTACTGAACATGGATAAAATGTTCTCAAATCATGTGAGAAAATGAAGCCATTGCTTGCCAGTTGAAATATATTTTTTGCGAAATAGTTCAAGTCTTTTAAAKAAGAGAAGAAGACTGCTGTAAGATTGATTCATGCTKGACATTACTGTTYGACTCATTAGYGCCTSTAGCATTTGGGCATGGAACTGCATCCACCATCATCGCTCTCAGGCAAAGGACAGAGTGACAGGACAGGGGCACTTCAGGGGGCCAATCAGATTTCAGCAGGGGCCAATGCCCMTGTGGCCCTGCCCCTAGAACCACCCTGCAAAGATATATGACTGGCAACAAATGCTTAAGTAGGTGTTGATGTCTTTCTGCGCTGTGTTYAGAGCAAAAAACAACAACTAATACATCATTTCATTCCAACCTGACAGTTTKATTTTCAAAAAGTGYAACTAGACACAGGTACAACAAACTGYATGAAATACAGTTTCTTAATGACTTTAAAACTTTGCACCCATTAAATATTTTCTGATGCTCTAGATACTGAAAAACACTGCTTAATATCAGTTTTGATGTGGTATTTTTGGTCCATTTTGTTTTTCAAACYGATGCTGACCAAACACATAAATGCAAACGTTTGAGCCAACCATTTGTTGCAGTTTAAGCAGTTTTTTTTTAAAACGATATGCCTATTACACAGACTGATATTGTGAGGACAATAAATTTGCGTTATGTTGTGCAGCTCTAGCCCCAACTCAGACTTTGGGAACAACTGCTCCAGAGACATTGACCAATGAAGGAAAATTGGGCTTTTTTAACTTTTAGGGTGGCCGCCTCCTGGACTTTTTACATAAAATGTGCAAATTTATTGTGGAAATTACTACTGATGAGTTTCAAAATTAAAGTCATGTGTTAGGTAACCTAGATACTCTATGTCATCAGGTACTTTCAATTTCCATTGAAACTAACTCATATCTATCAAAAAAATRCAACCTAACCATTTGTAGTCTTATCACTTTATTCACAACAACATGATCAAGCGTCTGTAACAGAATGCTGTGATCCGTCACGTTGAATTCTCTACTACATCTATTATTTGAAGCACATACTGTATCTGAAATAATGTATTTCCTCAGGGGAGGCCGAACAGTTCTTGATGAAGCTGATTAACCGTCCAATCATCGTCCTCCGTGGGGAGCATGGTTTCATTGGGGCTCGTAAAAGTGGATTTCCCACCCTCGACTCCAACAGAGCATCTTATGATGTTTTCCAACTAGAGTTCCATAACGGAGCTTACTCTCTCAAAGGTGAGTCATTAAAGACTTAAAATTATATATTTATAGAAATACAGTCTTGTTTTGGCATCTTTTATGCATATATTACATGCCCCATAATTCAATTTGAACAGTAGTTTTAGAGCAAATAGTAAAGATGATTTTATGAAGGACACTTCAAATGAATACTGCTTGCATTTCCTGCATTTGAGCTTTCAAAGGTTCACCACTGTTTAAAATACTTTGGTATGGCTCCACAAATCCTCTTTGACAAATCAGGGTTGCTTTGTTTTGCATCATATTTAAATGTCAGCTGAGCTTGCGTCACAAATCAAATGTGAATGTTAAAGTAGTCTGAAAAATACTAGCAGGTACTATCTGCAATGTAAAACTAAGACAGGAAAATGCTGTAGAGTCTGTACCCTGCAGTGGAAAATGTGTCTTACCATGTTTTGCCATCTGAGCTCTGGTTGGTGCTGGATTTAAAAATGTTCAAAAACAGCTCTAAAAATCTGCATTTTTTGGGGGGTGGGGTTTGTAGAGAATTGGTTTCTCAACAAACGTCCAACAACAGCCAAATCTCACCAAAGATCTCCTCCTARTGCACATTCATACAGTTTTAAGTTTAAATTCACATCAGCACAGAACAYCTTTGTGCAAGAATTTCAGCTGAATGAACAACTAATGTGGACCGATTAGAGATTTCCCTGACAAGAATAAAGAAATAACCAGAGTCTGTGGCATTTTCATTGTTTTCTGTCTTCTTGGTATGCATTGCTCATTCTTAGGACTGTTTAAATAGTTCCTAATTATAATCTAAATGGAGGTCACTGGGCATTAARACAAAGCCAGTGTTCAAAATATCTAATGTGAACAATACTACGGACATATAGACTGATCATGAAACTCTTTTACTAAGTTAAACAACTCAATAAGTTCACCCTGACATCAATCCAGGCTGACTGCGTGTGGAGGTTCATTGAGTGTATGTTTGCTCAGACTCCCAGGGGAAGTACTGGTGTGTTGACGACGACTCAGCAGTCGTGTGCAGCAGTGCCATACCTGTCCAGTTCCTCCTCGAGTTCTGTGATCTCAACAAGATGGCCATTCGGGCTGTCGGGGGCAAGTACCTTAAAGGCGATCATGCTGGAGGACTGAAGGCCAACGCCGACTCCCTGGACAGCGCCACCCTCTGGGAATATTAAAACAAGGACTTCTGCGCGGTTTGACACAATGCTTCAAACTAATAATGAATATGAAGGTTTTTCTGGTTGTCGTGTTGTTTTGTGTTTCTGTGTGTGAGTGCGTAGTTGTGAATAAATTGGGATGGCTGTGTGGTGGAGCTGATTAACTGAACGTCAAGGCAGCAAAGGGCTGCAAACATTTAATCTGCCTTTTTTGCTTATAACTCTTCTTGGTGGACTTTTACCCACATGGGATAACATTAACTTGTTCTATTGAACGTATGGCTTGTTTCACTTTCTTTCTAGCTYGCACACATGTCCTCATTAGTTGTTGCTAAATGTGGTACCTTCTGCTGGTGTAACTAACAATCTTACAATTCAGCTGCTTTTCAGTCTTACAGTTTGCATTTCTTGTTTGCTTACAAAAGCACAAATAGACACACCGGATGAAGGGATGGTACTGATTTGCATTCCTCTGCTGTAAATAACGCTTTGTCTGTTGCTGAATACYTTAAAACACTTCAACCATGGGACAGCAGATAGTTTTTAAGCCGTCGACATGCACAAGTCACGTAATCTCCTGCCAGATAATCCAAACAGTCAACGGTCAAATATATAGAATCAGATTCTCTCTTTGTGCACAACCACAGTCCAAAACTAAACAGATGACAACAGCTAGAAGATTTTAATGTAATCGTGTTAATGTAGGGAGTATTCTTTTCAGAATTACTTTCTATTAAAAGCAGTGTGGCGTAGTTCAGAACATTATAGAGCACAAGGACATAAAAWRCACATAAGAAATGAGGTCATAAATACATTAGATTAAAATGTAAAAACATTGATATCTGCACAATAATGTGTTTGCCACCTAAAGTTCAAAGCACATATTTGTTGTTGGACCTGTAATAAATGCTGCTACTGATCTGTATACACAAAGGTGAACAAATGCCTCTGGCTTTTATTATGGCTGTGCCTTCCATATAGCATTTACTCTATTTCTTTCTTTATTTTTGCTGTTTTTTTAACTGAACCAAAAAAAGAATAAAGCCCTGTCTCTCAAAGTGAATTTCTTATTTATTTTATTTGCTTTTACTCTTTTACTTTTTCTCTGGGTCATTGATTTTTGTGTATTTTACCAGGAAATTATTCACAAAAAAGTCTGTGGATTGTCCAGAGGGGTTTCTGCAGGAAGTTGTGGTTTGGGAAGTTTGGAGTGATTTTATCTGGCTTCATTTATCTTTTAGATGAAAATTTGCAAAATGATGAACACTGAAAATTCCATGTTGGGTGAACAAAGTGTTTTCAGTGGATTTTTTTTCTTCAGCCATTCTTCATTTTTTATTATTTAGTAACATCTAATGTTTTTGATTTGGAGTATTTAAAAATTTTGATTTTATTCAATCATTTGGTTCATTCATTGTGTCTCTTAATTTAATAAAGGGTCAAAATAAACACATTTTGGACTTATTGTAGTGTAAAAGCAGCTTATCAGTTGGGAACCAGAAACTGATTATCTTAGCTCACTAATTTGTGAAATAGTTTGAACAAGTTTGTTTGTAATCGGAATGAGCCAAAAGAATAAAACAGAAACATATGTAGGACCAGAGTTCACATTAAATAGTTAAGCATCAGATCAAAACTATAACTGACTAATTTCCATTTTTGTTTCTACAGAAATTAGCTTGTAAATATGATAAATCTATTCTCTAATGATATTCCTGTCCCTGACCATAAACTTATTAAACCAATTGGTTAGATAATTAACATAGTTTTTAGATCAATAGATTTAAAGAGCAAATATAAAATAATTAGCTCAATAATGAAAACATATTTTTGAGGACATTTATGATAAGCATGTTGTTCTTGTAAAAAAATCCTTTGTCATGGTTGTAATGCTGTTGCAGCCAATGTGGGAAGAAAAATGAAGCCCATATTTTGTCCTCCCCTGAGATTTCTCTGAGCCAAAACTGTAGCAGGAAAAAGAAGGTGAAGTAGAGAGGGAGGTAACCTACTTTACTTTATTTGCATCTGCAGAGGACACCTAACTCAGTCATACTGTGCTAAACTTCATGTGCTTGAATGGATATTCACACATAGATTCACAGACAAACTAATTTCTCTTTGATTTTTTCTATCAGCATCTGTTGCCATGGAAACACATGGTAAAAATGGAGCTTGAGGAAGATGAATGTGCTGAAACAGACCAACAAATCTAGCATTTATCAAAGCCTTGGCTAGCACAGTAGTTGTTACATAATACTACATACAATCAGTACTCCTTCATCCAGTGATAATATGACCTTAAAAAATGGACAAAACAAAATCAATTGCAAAAAATGCTCTCAGTCCCATCAAAGTTACAGATAAATCAGTCATGCATATTTATTTGTGCAGTTTAAAATAAAACCACATAAACCTAAATGTTTATTTATTTACAAATTTTATTAATTTAAAACAAAACAACAGAAATTCATCATACAACAAAAAAAMCCACAAATCTCAAAATAAATGAAAGGTAGCAGAAGAAGAAATAATCTTATGATTTCTGCCCCTTTTTCACAAATAGATAAATTCAAACAAAATAATCTTCAAATAATAATTTCATTTAAAAATTACATACAATAAATACAATCTCAAAAATAAAATGCAAGGCAGCAGAAAGAAGGAAAAATCCTACAGTATCTGCCCCTTTTTAGGAAAAAGATAAAATAAACAAATTTTGAGTAATAAAAACAGAGCAAAACAACAATAATCCTCCTCAAACAAAATTTATATGAGTACATATTATTCTTTTTCATATTTCTTCAATAAACCAATTTTAATAATTCTCTTAAACACAAACATTGATCTGGCATTTTTAACAGCACTTTCCAGATTATTCCATAATCTCATTCCCTGAATTGACGTCGTTCTTTCTGGTTCGAAATTTAGTCCTCACAAACATCTCAATCCCTTTAAGATTATAACAGCTCTGTCTTTTAATTGACTGAATATTTACAGGTAATATGTTTTTATGAGCCTAATACATGACCTGCAAAATATTATGTGTACTTATTGTATCAAATAAGAGAACAGCTTAATATTTGATTTCTGCTAAATTACTTTCAGAATCTCATTTAAAGGTTTCCAACCAGCTGTGGATCTGTGCTGTGACAGAGGAAAATGTCTGAGTTTAACTCCAGCTGCTACACGTGCAACAGCTGTTCCCCCAGTGGGTCTGAGCTCCAGCTCAAAGGAYAAATGTGTCCACGGCTGCCATCTAGTGTAGTCAGTGTGAAAGGAAATTTTACTGGAGTTCAGGATTYACAGAAAAATAATGAGATGTTGAGGTTCTCCTTGGGAGTGACAAGTTAAGACATCATCAGAGGTACAGCACAGCATGAACAACTGTGAAATAAAGTTAGACTGAGATGGTTCACATATGTCCAGAGGAGGGACAGTGGGTATGTAGAAGGATTTTAAAGATGCAGCCGCCTTGAAAAAAAAAAAAAAGGCAAAGAGGAGAGGATGCAGTTAGAGAGGACATGGATGGAAAGAGAACAGAATAAGATGGAGGAAGATGACTTTCTCTGGAGACCCCTGAAGAGAGAACAGTCGAAAAACAATTTATTTGGTGTTGGAATATTTTTTGATTTATTATGAACTATTGCGAACATTTAGTCTTTTAAAGTACTGAAACAAAAGACATGATTATAAATATCAACTTTGCTAAAGTTTATGCAGCCTATGCTTTTTTTAAGGTTTATTTTAAAATTGCATTCAAATGCCACAAGTTAAGATAAATACTTCAAATGTTCTATTTGGACACAGGACAACGTTGCATACATGTAGTAAATAAATACGTAAAGAAATAAATGGTTCTGGATTTGTGCTGAGGTTTAGCATTTTTATGGGTTTACCTGCACATTTTTGCCAATAATAATAAAAATGGCCATTAAAAAAGGCTATAGTTTTCAAGAAATAAAACATTACAGTGCAGAGATCACAACAAAACATTGTGTGTACAAAACTAGTGCACAAGCATTTTATACCTGATTTAGACTTARCCCAATTTATGCTAATCTGATAAACCTAAAACCTCATCTGTTAAAATTTAAAAATAAAGAAAAGCTACAAGCATCAACAACGTTGTTAAAAGGTTTTGCGAATTGGAAAACCACGGAAAATAATAGTTTGGGCCTACACAACAACTCATTGCTGCCAACGTGAACTACTGATCCTCGCCCACATTTTGTGTTTACACAAAAGTTTTTTGTTTTTAAATAAGGGCACATAATGCTGTACTAAGCTTTACACAGTTCAATAACACAATTCACGAATACATTAAAACATATTTCTCAATTCAAAACAACTTTACGCACGTCATTCATTTCATTTAAATGTCAAATGTACTACATTTCCCATGAGCACTTGCTCGACGCAACCAGCGGATGCGATAAGCCAATCAGGCCGTGGGAAAATTTGTATCCTTTCAGTGATTGGCTAATTTTGTATCTTCCTTCCCACAATGCTTTGCTGCAACGCTGTGGAATTCAAATCAAGCCGACCAATCAGAAGGGGACGTGAGGAGAGACGCAAGTATTTAAAATTTGTATTAGAAACTGTTTTCATAAGGCAGGACGGGACTCCAGGCTAGCTATCGTCGGATACGGCTTTCAGGTTATTCCATATTTATCGCCGATTATTTTAGATTCTTATGTTTGAATGCGCCGGGTTGACCTCTAGAAACTATCGTGAATTAACACTTGCGTCCACAAAGAGTAAACGTAAGTTTTGATTTAAACCGATAAGTGTATGGAAGACAGCTAGCTTCCCAGGCTGAAAGTCGATTGAGTTAGGGGCTAACAATAGTTTGAGCCTTGCAGCTATCGTCACAACGTCGGCCGTAGAGGGGGAAATATTTTTTTTGTAAGTAGACCGAATATTTTTTTTAATACAACATGAGTGCTGGTACTGCAAAACCGACGCACCCGTCGACACATGTGGATCCGAAATCCGCACCTCTGAAAGAAATCCCAGATATTCTTGTTGACCCACGCACCAAGAAAAGATACACGAGAGGACGGTTCCTGGGGAAAGGTGGCTTCGCGAAATGCTACGAAATTACAGACGTGGCGACGAAGACTGTTTTCGCTGGCAAAATAGTGCCCAAAGCTTTGATACTGAAGCAGCACCAGAGGGAGAAGATGACTTCGGAAATCGCCATTCACAAAAGTCTAAGTCACGCGAATGTGGTCGGATTCCACGGGTTTTTCGAGGACGACGACTTTGTTTTTGTGGTCCTGGAAATCTGCAGGAGAAGGGTGAGTGGAGTGCATGAAATTAAAACTTTTATTTTCCTCCCAGCATAAAGGTCGAAGGCCCGACGGTTAACATGGCGGCCTCTTCCGCTGTCCTCTCTCAGCCTATCCAAATGGAAAGCTTAAATTAGACAAAAATTCAATGGAGTTTTGAACACAAACCACCAACACTTGTATTAACCCTCTCACGCAACAAAATAACGTTTCCCTAAGCATGTTTTTAACACTTTCAGTCCCTGCTGGAGCTGCACAAGCGTCGTAAAGCCGTGACTGAGCCTGAAGCTCGCTATTACATGACCCAGCTGCTGAAGGGTGTCCAGTACCTGCACAACAACAAAGTCATCCACAGAGACCTGAAGCTGGGCAACATCTTCCTCAATGATGACATGGATGTCAAGATAGGTACTGTCTTTGGAACAAACCTCACCTGCGGTTCTTTTTGTCTCAATCGACACGGATCAGCAACAATAAACATTTGGTGTTAATAGTGAGGGATAAGTTTATATTGCTCAAAAATAAAAAAAAAATGTCTGCCAGTTTAAAAAAAAAATGTCTGCCAGTTTTGAATGAGAAGGGCTTGTGAAGAAATGCACATCTCCCACAGTCATGGTTAGAGTACGCCCTGGATTATTCACCTTTAAAACCCCATCAAATTTGATCTCTAGCTATGAAATAGACAGAGTTATATTACAGCCATTATTATTTTAATGCTGATTAGCTGTGGCAGCCATCTTGGATTGAGGTGACTCCAAAAGTCATTCAGTTGTAGATGTTTTCTGTGAGTTTTCTTCAAATCTGTCCACTGGTTGATGAGATGTTTGGCTAATGGTACATTACTCYGTCTTTGCTTTTCTTGCTTTGTGACAGTGTTCTGATCTGCTGTTAAACAGACCTTTTTTTCTTCTTCTGCTTCTAGGCGACTTTGGTTTGGCAACTAAGATTGAGTTTGATGGYGAACGAAAGAAGACTTTGTGCGGAACGCCCAACTACATAGCTCCTGAGGTGCTTTGTAAAAAAGGCCACAGTTATGAAGTGGATGTCTGGTCACTTGGGTGCATATTGTAAGTGCACAGCTACCAACACACATTTTTTTTAAGTGAGTAAGTGTAGTAACGCCTGCATCTGTTCCCTCAGGTACACTTTGTTGGTGGGCAAGCCTCCGTTTGAGACCTCCTGTTTGAAGGACACCTACAGTCGCATCAAGAAAAACAACTACACCATCCCCTGGGTAAGATGACTAAACAGAGAATGTAACAATATCCTTAAAAATACCATTGTCTGGGGTTTTTGTTTGTTTATATATATATATATATTTTAGTATGCACTAATTTGCCCCTTCTGCATGACCTGAACTCTGCAGCACGTCAACCCAGCCGCCGCGGCTCTCATCAAAAGGATGCTGCACGCCGATCCTTCCCAGAGACCGACCGTCGCYGAGCTGCAGAGCGACGAGTTCTTCACGTCGGGCTACATCCCCCTGCGCCTGCCCACCACTTGTCTCACTGTAGCCCCGCGCTTCTCCATCGCCCCCTCCACGGCTGCAGAGCTCAGCCAGCGACGCCCTCTGACGGCTCTGAACAAGGGTAACAAAGCTTGGGATTTTTCAGGGATGATATTTTAGCTTCACTGGAAATGAGATAAGTTGAGATAAATATAGTTTTTTTTTTCTTTTTCAGTTGGCACAGAGAAGATGGAGGTGAAATATGAGCCCGCRCGAAGGTGACAGGTTTCTGCTGACCTGACAGTGTTTGTGATTTAGCTGTTCAGGGTTGCTTGTGTATTCTTTTATGTTTTTGTATATAGACTAAATGATTTTGCGTTCTCTGCAGTGAGACTGAACAATCAGAAAACTACCTGAAAGACATGCTGCTGCARCTGGAAAGCATCAATGCATCCAAACCCTCGGAGGGGCCCCTCATCAGACAGGGTCGGTGCACATTTCTCASCATCACTTTGTTTCATTTGATCATTACTTGCTTTAGTTAAATGTTAGAATAGATTAAAGCCATGTCAGTGTTCATACAGTGATATTGTTGTTTCTTATGTAATTCCAGAGGAAGCAGAAGATCCTGCATGCATCCCCATCTTCTGGATCAGCAAATGGGTTGATTACTCAGATAAATATGGTCTAGGTAAGCGTCACTCCCTGCACTAAGAAAACACTGWTTTGAAGCTTTACATTTGTTTGACTTTTAGCTAAATATCTTACAAACCTCTGGAGAGTTTTTATTGAATATCTCAGGAAATGATGATCAAATGTATACCTAAAACTGATTAACTTTTGAAGTTGATCAAATTCAAAATGACCCCCTCAATCAACTGATCTTGTTCAACACAAGACTGTCTATAACTCACCTTTACAGATATTAAATTAACAATTTATACAGTAATTTGAGGTCCATTTTACACTGAAACGATCTGGAAATGTTGGATTTTTCCAGTTGTCGTTGTGAAAACGTTGCACATTCACTCAGTAATGCTGTGTTCACAATTGTTTAGGTAAGACTGCAAAAGATGTTGAATGTGCTGCAGTTTCCATGTCAGGTCACTAGTGGGCTCTGGTGAATTTTCAACAACACACACATGTCTCAGTCTCCAGGATGAAAACGTTTTGTTTGTTTTAACTTAAAATTATAAATCTTAAAAAGATTCAGGTAAATTTAAACTGCAACCATGGTGCACATTTGCAAACACCTCTGTCTAATAAAACTTTTTAAAATGTACTCCAAAAGTCCAAGTACTTGTTAAAAGTATACTAATTAACAGAGATGTTTGAAAAACAGAAAATGACTGGTAAAAATGAAATTCACTGATTTAGAAAAGTACTTAAGTCATAAAACTTTTAAAAGTAATCGGGAAAGTAAAAGTACTTTGACACACTTGTGTTGTGTGTGTAACGAGGTGTTACATTTTAGGCACAGAAAAAAATGTTTTAATATAATTTTTATGCTTTGAATGTAATGAGATAAAAGTAAAAGCTATAATATAATATAATATATACACACCTGGTAAAACTACAGGTCCTCAAATTACTTACTGTAAGTACTGTAACAAAGTAAATGTACTTTACTATACACCTGCTAACCAAGAGTTTATACTGTTTTTCTTAAAGGCTACCAGCTGTGTGACAACAGTGTGGGTGTTCTGTTCAACGATTACACTCGTCTCATCATGTACGCTGATGGAGACAGTCTGCAGTATATAGACAAGACTGCTGCTGAATCCTTCCTCAGTGTTCGCTCGGTTCCCTCTGCTCTCAACAAAAAGGTCTGGAGATGAAGATTTAATGGTTTTTTTCCTTTTATAAGTGTTGTTTGTTTTAGACAATGTCTCGTAGTTAAAGTGTTTTTAAAACCTTTTGTATTGTAGATAACGCTGCTGAAATACTTTCGCAACTACATGAGCGAGCACCTGCTGAAAGCCGGGGCCAACATGGCGCGACGGGATGGAGATGAGCTGGCGCGGCTGCCTTACCTCTCCCTGTGGTTCAGAACTAAAAGCGCCATCGTCCTGCACCTCAGCAACGGCACCGTCCAGATCAACTTCTTCCAGGTTGGACAAGAAATGCTTCAACTCAGACTCTTTTTTCTTCCCCTCATCCTCATTGTGCTTCATCCTCACAATCTTTGTATTTTTTTTCTTACTTCCCAGGACCACACTAAGCTCATCCTGTGTCCTCTGATGGGCGCCGCCACCTACATTGACGAGAAGCGGGACTTCCGCACGTACAAGCTGTCTCTGCTGGAGGAGTTCGGCTGCAGCCCGGAGCTGGCCAGCCGCATGCGTTACGCCAAGCTGATGGTCGAGAAGCTGCTGGTCAGCAAGCCTTCCTCTGTCGACAGTTAGACAAGTTTTTTCCCCGACACTTCAATCACTGTCTCGTATAGTCCCAGAACTTTGAAGTTGTGTGCTTTGTTTCAAGGGAGGCAATTCTTTTCAAMCCCCTCATTTTCTTAAATGTCTTTCTTAAAACTCTGACTTTCTTCATAAAGCTTATACTATTTGACATAAACGTTCCTGCTAACATTACTGTTGATCTGTTGAAATAAACTTGAAAGCAAAGACAAACAATCTGTTAAAATACATCAACAAAAAGTTGCGAAGTTCCTCTTTTAAAAAAAAATATGGATATTTTATCTTTTTTGTTCGTGCTTGAACTCTCCAGCAGTGAGGAGACGAGCCTCTCCAACACTGCAGATGAGTAAACCTCTGGTCTTTTTGATRTTTACAGGTTTTGTTTGTTTGCAGAGAAGTGCACCATGTTTATACGTCTCTATCATGTACATTCTTCTGTCATTTCCTGTTTTGTTTTTGTTATTTTGTAACTTTTTTTTTTGTTTGTTTTAGATGAGAGGTTTTTCAACAAGGTAAACACACTTGTACATACTTTTGAAAATGATTTAAAAATTGAATACCTCTGACCAAGCTTAAATAAAGACTCTTTTTGGAACAAAAGCCTTTCTTTCGTCCACTGTATTTTATTTATTTTTCTATTTCAGGGTATTCTTTTTGAAATCCTTGTTTCCTAATGCGTGTTAATGGTTGAATGTTCTCAGAACAGTTAATCCTTTAAAGGTAGAGTTCTTGGTGATCTGAAKAAGTATAAACAATTAGCATCTTGCCTGTTGCAGATAGTGCTAAATCACAATTTGCAGGTTTTTTTTTTGTCAAAGACCAAAGTGGTTTGCTGCTGTTTTTGAAGAACGTTAGTCTTAAAGTAGGTATTGTAAATGTGCAATGGTTTTTGCTGTGTACTTCACATTACATAGTAGGGTTGGGCAATATTGGGGAAAAAAGTAATCACAATTAATTGTACTATTTAATTGATAAATAATATGACAATTAATCCATTGGAGTACCTTAATGCCCTAATATCTTAGTCATGACCAATTTAAATCACTAGTGGGGAAGATTTGCTCTGTCAAAATCTGTTCCAAATTGTGTCCAAAATACAGACTTCAGGATATAAATCTATTTTTAAATTGTGTTGACAGACCAAGTAAAACCGGAGTTATTATAAATAAATTACAGAACTTTTTTTTTTGTTTATTATATTTGAAGCAGAGAGCAGCATTGAGCGGAYTGACTGGGGAAATCCCTAGTCAGTCTACCTGGTGGCATTACAGTAATCATATTAACCGTCAAGTGCCAAAAAATAATTGATTAAAGTTTTTCTGACGATTAATTGCACGATACAATTTTGCCCAACCCTATTACATAGGTACGAGCACAGAGGCTGTAATAGATCTGGGTGCTTCCAAAAGGAAAATATTTCTGCATAAATTATTGGGTAGTTAGAAATTGACAGCGATGTGAAAGTGTAAAAGGTTTGTACAAATTCTTGAGGATTAATGTTCATAGCAGAAATCCATTTAATTCTTGTCAAAATTAAACTGGTTAAATCAATTTAATGTTTTAAGTCATTATCAGTCAAATCAGTTTTTTGATTAAAATATAATTTACAAGATTTTAAAGTATGAGAACACCTATTTTAAATGCTATTATTGACAAGATTGGTCATAACCATTCAACAGAATCTTAAAAAAAACCAAACTATCTCTTTATAATTTAATATGTACACCTCAATCTTACATAAACTCAAAATTTCCTTCTCTTTGTCATATTAACACCCTACATAAAATCTTTCTGTTGTCGACAAAAGCAGCTTTTAGCTACGGCAGCTGTTAAAAAGAGGACATAAGCCAGCACACATTGAATAGAAATTTTATTACATTTGGTAATACTTTTCTCCTTTGAACATAACATGGATTTACAATATGAAAAATTAAAACAGCAGCAGTTTTAAAAGAAACTGGAATGCAGTCATCTAAAAAGTAAAGCTGGTACAGTGTGGCTATGTGCAATTAAAATCAAATCAAATTGAGCAGCTTCATATTTTTTAGCTTATGTTTTTGGACATCTAAGATTTGTGGGATGTGTAGTTTTTAGTATTGAATTATCTTGGATTTTGAATTACAGCAGACAGGAATATCCTGCTCCTGAATTTTGTCTTTAAAAACATCAAAGAGAGAAAAACCACAGCAAGAAAGTGAACTTTAGATTTTCCTGAACAGCCTCATTTGTTGATGTATTTTAGTATCTCTTCCACGCAGCAACAAAAGGACTTCTGATGGAAAATGTCTTCAGTAGTGGAGTAAAGAAACATCTCCGCTGTGATGTCCAATCAGCAGTGTGTGTTCTCCTGCCCATCGAGCCAGCTGCCAGTCTTCATCCTCTGGAGCCTCCACCTGACGGGACGTTGGTTTTCCCAGCTCCCACACACACACACACCCGCTCTGGCTCAGGCCCACCACGCTGGAGTGATGAACGTCTGCCTCACACAGCCTGCAGAGCACACAGAGATCGTTGCACGAAAAGAAACACTCAAAACGAGAGTCTAGTCTTCCGTTACTTTTCTCATCTCACCTGCCAGACCAGGCTTCGGGTGGATAGAGTCGAGCACCCAGGACGGATTTTCCACTCAGAGGGTTTATGCCGACTAAAGAGAACAAGGCCGTGTTCGTCTCCTCTGAAAACATCTGATCTTTGATTTGATCTTTTTTTTCTTCTTCATCCAAGGAGCTTAGAAACTGGTGTTGCAGCAGGACCAACAAAACTCCCTGCACATTTATAGAAAAAAAACAACAACAGTAAAAACAAAGCAGGAATTAAAACTAAAGCTTACAATACTACAGTCATTTGTAGAAAAACGAGCTACTTACACAGTGAGAGTAACCTCGGAGACAGGCCATGTTTGATAAACCGTGGCCCAGCAGGACTGTGCACAGCAGCTGTCCAGTATTTAAATTCCTTTAAAACAAAACCAACAAAAGTTTACTAATCTCCCTGGTTGAAACACATGCAGACAGAATTCCAGGAGTTTTCATTTACTGACATATCTATCTCTCTAAAAATAAAGAAAAAAAAATGGAGATGTGAATGAATTTCTACCTGCAATTTTCCTATTCGCCACTAGGGGGTRCAAACTCATCGTGAACACAACACAAACTGTCGTTTCCAAAAACATTGATCCATTTAGTGCCAAACTTCCACGCATCACATGTTTGGATATAATAAAGCAGGCAGAAAATGTTATCAGAAAGATAGGATTATGTTGGCTAATATTCATAATGGCTGCTAACACCAAACAAAGTATAACAAAAAAATGTAAACAAAATTTTATGGATGTAAAAACACAGTAAGAGAGGTCTTCAAGCTGCACTAATTGAATAATTGCAGACAAACAAACAAAAAACACATTGTGCAAACATTTATGAAATAGAAATCATTTAAACAATTTAAAACTGATGTTTTATTATATATATATATCCATCCATCCATCCATTTTCTGTACAATGAGCTTTTGGCAAAAAAAGGATAAATATTTTATTTTTTTAACTTTGCATGTCATATTAATGCTTTTTGATTTTATGTCTACAGTTTGAATTGACAAATAGGAGCAGAAAGTTTCCACTTTACAATAAAATGTTTCTTTTTTCAAAAGAGTAACATCTCACACACACGAATACACAATTACCTTTGAATTTTTCAGCACACACCACAACTCTAAAACCAATTCTTTTTAAATGTATTGTTATTGGCTTTTGTTCATATTTACATTTTGCACATTTGTTTCATTATTTTGTATTGTGTGTTATTTGTTTTAATATTTCTTTTGAGTATTGCACATTTTTCTTCTACTGTATTTGAGCACAATGCTAGAACATTGCAAATTTCCCCACTGTGGCACARATAAAAGATGACTCTATATTTGCTTCACCATATGAGCAAATAAACCTAAAAGCAAAAATAAAATGTAAAAACAAAAAAGTGACAGGATCTGATWTAAAAATCTGTGATTTAATGTGAACTGAAGTTAGCTGTGCCTCATCCCAAGCATGTTCCTACTCTCACCAGATGAAGAGGCGTCCGCCTTCATCCATACCAATTAGAGCGTCAGGAAGCTCGTCCACAGGAGCGAGGGCGCCGACACAAACACCGGGAGACACGAGAGGCTGACGACTTAAACAGCTGAAGGAGACAGAAGCGAGACACTGAAACATGTGTCCGTCGGTGCAGCGAGAGGACGCGAGGGAGGAGAGGGCCACARCCTTACCTGCTGCCGTCTGACAGTGTGAACACCTGCAGGGTGGAGCCTGTTGCTGAGTGGGAGGAGGTGACCACTCGGGACTTGTACAAACCTACAACTACYTGCATGACCCCCTCACATAGCAGCATCTCAGTGAGGCTGAGGCACGACAGCGTTCTGAGCACAAAGATACAAACAAAAACTATCTTCTTTTTGTGATGAACTTTATATGGCTGAAATACGAACTTTTCACAAAAACTAAGGAAATTTGTGTTCTGTAGATTATTTCTTTGTTGTAACAATGCTTATTGRAACTAAATCTTATAACGTTGGAAAGTCTGTTRATTTCCCTTTTAAATGGCGCCACATTTGTAAGGAACATGCATTTGTGGGATGAGCTATAGAGCTGAGTATGTGGGCTGTGCACATGAAAAAATAGCCAAACAACWTTTTTTGCTGTTGCAYTYTTGTTTTGAGYTTCTGGTRCCCCCAGWTGSTGCCAATCAGGTGCTGCTATAAGATTTATTGCCAAGAAGCATTGTTATRTCAAAGAAATAACCCAACAAACACAAATTTCCTTAGGTTTTGTGCTAAGTTTACATAGTCGAGCATTTTCAGGTCAAACCCAACTTTGTTAGGTTTGTCTCTAATGGATTCAGATTTTTAAAGGCTTTAAAAACAGATTCAGAAATCATTCTAAGATACTGAACAGCGTCAGCACAAACAGCTTGTTTTTCAGGACAGTCAGGTCAAATCTTTATTTTATAGCTTAACACAAAATTTTTGCGCGCGCGCACACACTCACACACACCCACACACACGCACACACAAACAAATAAAATCCAATTTAAAATGTTTTAATATATGTCAGGTAGGGGCGCAATGATACAGAAAATTCATGATTCGGTTCGGTTCAATACTTTAGTGTCATGGTTCGATACCAAAAAAGAGACATTTCCATGCCCTTTTTAACTTGTAATTTATTTAAATTAATTATGAACATTTGTTTAACCTCAAAAGTACAGTTTTTTTAATTAAATGTTGCTGAAACAGAAGTTTCTCACTGGATCTGCGCTCGAAAATGCAGCCTAGGTGGAGTAGTCGAACACAGATCCACTGATCCTTCAACACAGAGCATCTTCAGAAGACATGTTGATAAAATAAAAAAAAAAAAATCTGTATTGTTCGATACAAGTGTGTATTGAACCTAATGCACTGTATTGAACGGTTCGTTACAGGTACATGTATTGTTGCACCCCTAATGTCAGGGTCTCACTATACCTCACTTCTCTGATTTCCAGCTGACCAAGAGTCACACACATGAGGTCTGCAGCRTCTGGGACAGGAAACACATTGATCACAGGCTGCAAAAATAAACAAAAAATACATGTTTATTATAGAAATATGTTTATTATTATAGACAAACTGTGGTGATATAAGTGTAGGTTACAGTGGATTTGGCTGAAACCTTTTATCCAAGGAATAACTTGCCTCTTTGAAAGTCCAGGTGTGCTTTAAGCTCCAGCCAGAAGCTGAAGTCTGACTCCAAAGGCACACAGCCCAGGTTCCTGCTGCTGCTACAAACAATCCTCCTGATGATCCAGAAAGACAGCATGCATCCACCAGAGAGCCTCCTGCTGCAGCCTGAAAACACACAAATACTTTGTACTCAAAAAGGGAAGCTGTGGATGAAACACATTATTTTCAGCAAATAAGCCAAGAGGTGATTTCTAAACTGAACAAAAGGCACAAAAAGTTTTTTTTTGTTTACCTTTAGTGTGTGGGTGTGTCTCACAATGCACCGGTCTGTGGTTTCCTCTGCCGCCTGTATGTCAGGCCCAGATGAGTCTCCCGACAGATTTGGACATGCAGCAGGTTGGACTTTGTGACACTGGTCGCTCACAGCCGGCTCGAATGAAGCCTGAGTGTGGCAGCCTGGGGAGAAGGGAGGCAGGCGGGGGGTGGATGGGTACGGAGACAGAGTCTGTATGGACGGACTGTGAGGAGGAGGGAGGTTGAGGGGCGGGGCAGCAGGGGAGAGTGTCAGAGGAGTGACTCCTAAGGAGGGCAGCAGCGGGCTGGAAGCTGCGGTGGGGGAGGGCGGACGAGGAGTTATAAACGAGCAGTCCACCGAAGCAGGAGGAGAGTTCAACACAAGCTGAGAGCCACAAGATCCACACCGGGTCTTATTATGAATCAGTCTGTCTTTGGAAAGGTTTGTGTTGGGTTCAGACGGTTCTGCTAAAGAGCATCGGCCACTGTTGGGCAACTCTTGTGCTGCTTTGGTTTTATTACATGCTTGTAAAGAGGTGATGTCTGAAGGCTTCTCTTGAGATTCATTTTGACAGTGATCAGRTAATAGAGTCTTGGTGGCAGCTCTGCTTTCTCCTTGGTTTCTGGTTGTCTGGTCAACTAAAGAACTGGACAATCCACAAAGCTGGGTTTGTTTTTCAGCAGCTGGCTGCTCTTTAAACTCACCTGAATGTGCAGCGACAGTTTCATTCCCTTTGAGCTGTGGTGCAGCCACAGAGTTACAGCTATTAGGTCTGTGTGTGCTGCTGATGGATGTGCAGCTAAGGTTTTGAACGTAAGGGGTCACGGCTTTGTGCTTCGTCTGTCCACAGACCCCGTGGTCTTCTGTCTCTGCGTGGAGCTGCTGTCGCTCCACTTTAGATTCTGGATTATTATTGTCAGGCACCTTCCTAGGCGAGTCCCCGCCAACCGACTCATCTGTCAGGTTGAGTTCTGTTGACGAGTCCTGCAGATGTCTTTGCTGGTCTTTGTCATCGGGGCAGGGCGGGTCCGGAATCGTTGGTGTGAAGCTGAGCGGGAGAGGAAGAAGCGTCGCGGGGTCGTCGACGCTGCTGCGAGCGTTGCGTGGCGGTGTCGAGAAACCTTTGACTCCCGACTCCACAGCGACCTCGCAAAGTTTAAGCAGCTTCATGGAGGCGAACTGATCGTCTGGGAGGTGAAAGTCTTGATGGACGTCTAAGCTTCTCAGGCTGCTGATGAGCGCGACGGGAAACAGGGACGGGGTAGGAAGATGAGACGTTTGAGCTGGGGAAGATGAGGATGGCAGGAGGAGAGATTGCCAGCTTGATGTTCCTAAAGGACACAAAGTGGAAGAAAAAAAAAAAACAAGACTGTAACATGATGGAAGGGTACTAATTTGTAAACACAATTCTTATTAAAAGTCACCCAGCTTACGCCATTTCAACTTCTGTCCACTCATATCAAACCCAGTCTGCAGTGA